GAAGTGTCTTTCTAACGCAGCTGTTCGTGAATGGAATACCGTTCTCGATCCTCCTTCTTCTGGTTCTGTACAAAGTGTCACCGAATCCCAGGCTGGTCAACTCCTCTGTTTTTTGTTGCAGTGGGTTGCGTCGGCGAACCCCGAGGTACGAATCTTTTGGTCCGTCAACTCCTCCCATATACCTTTTACCAAACTGATATGTTTTTAACGCCATCGGGAAGCATGACGCCATGTACCCCCCAGCCGCAGAGTACCAGTAATGCCACCTCGTAAGTTTTACAACGCCCGCTTTCTGATATATTCTTTTTAAATTATAGATTCAGACTGCCGGTCGCCAGAGTATTTTGAGCGCTGCCAGTGCCCTGGTCAAACGCGCGGCTGCAGAGCAGGCTCAAATATCTGCAAAAGCATGGCGATCAGGTTTCACTTTGCCCAGAGGAGACTCATCCAGTCGCCGTTTCCATATGACGACGCTGATAACACCTCCAGCTGATCCAGGACCTGCTGCTCCGTTAATGACGTTTTTTGTTAACGAGTTGTCAGGTTTGCTTCAACCGCCAGTAACTTCCTCACAGGTACGCTGACAAATAATATCGTCTGTTTAACGGTTTTTGGTTGTTACTTAATCTCGTTGACTATTTTTATTTATTGCTTCTAGGAGGTCATATCGCGCGTTTGCTTCGGGCTTTCGGTTCTGTCGGCATTTCTCGACGAGATGTCAAACACCGGTGACTTTACGAGGTTAAATCTTCCACTTGAGGCCCACGTATTCATACAAGCCCGCTTCCAGGTAATTATCCTTAACTAGATTTTTTCCTTGCTAACTTCGGCTCCAATTTACCGTTCTAAATTGCGCTTAGATGTAATTTGTTGCAATTTTACCTATGCTATGGGCACCCTTTAATGCTCACGAGAGAAAACTGTTGGCTCATTTTAATCGTGGCTGGTTATTTTCCTTATAAGCTTAATTATGTGAATAGTGTTAATGCCCAATCGGATCTCAGAAATGTGAATATCATTCCTATCTGCGCGTCTTGATGTACGCCAACAAAACGCGCTAACTTGTAACGAGAAATGTAATCGGAAAAGAATTGAATGGACGCACCCAACGTTTTACTTCGTTACTACGGTAAATTTCTCACTGACCACGAACTGAGCCATTTAAAACTTCAGAATGAGCAAAATAATTGGAGGCTGGATCTGCTCTGCGCACTAGAAGAACATTCGTCTTAGCGATGTTTCTTATGATCCTCCGGATAGACGTTCAATATAGAGTAAGTGTCCTAACTCCTTGGGTATGCTTAACGTAGCTAAAAATTCCTTAAAACTCGACAAAAAGGTTCAAATACATTGGCCAAAACATGCGGTTAAGGATGATGGATTTTTACCTGATTGAAGACATATTACTAAGGATACTATTACGTTTATTTGAAATGGCATTAAAAAAGCGAAACCTTTCCGGACGTATAAATTCATGTAAGGTAAGTTATTTTGATTTTACCGGACCAATTGACCTCTGCAGCGTCCGAATCACCGAAAAGTAAAAGCAAAATTTCGGAGCTGCCAGTGCTCTAGCCACATAAGTTACAAAGCCCTGACCGAGTTCTTAGTTCGCACACGTGTTCTAAGTTATCCGCCTAACTTACACGTTGAGTCCGCCAATTCTAAAACAGTAAGCTGACTGTCCAAGCTGGCTGTACTCCATATTTACCCTTTCTATCGCGGTTTTGAGTGTTGCCGAGTCTTTTTCATGCAAGCTAGAAACCCAACAAACTTTTTTTGAAGTGCATGTCTATAGGAACTGAGTACATAATGCAGCACAAGTGCAACAGCTGTAATAACATTTCGAATGATGTGTGAATTAATTATCCACTCGGAATGGGCATAACAGTCAGTCAATTGCTTACTGTCTAGTACTATTTCCCAGAATGATGTCATAAAAAGCACGTTTTTCACTTATATTTTCATTGTGCGTCCTCTGAGCTGCATTTGTTTAATTTCATGAAAATGACTATCACAGGAATAAAAATGTTCATAGGACCACATTTTGAGACACCGGTCAGCAACTAAGAATTTGCAATATCATTAACATATATATGTTTGTTATGCCGGTTTACAGGCAATTTTAAAAAGTTGGTAAAGCACCTCTTGGGCGCCTTCCAAAACCCCGAAGACAGGAAAAACCTAAAACGAACTCCCTCTTTTGCAGCCAGTATTGGTTTTGTTTAAATTTTGCGTTTTGTCAAAACTGGGCGAGATAGGGAGTTTGTTTCAAGTGAAAAAACCTG